TTCCACCCCCTCCCCCTCCATTCCTCAACACCCCCCTCCCCTCTCCCTTCCACCCCCCTCTCAACACCCCCTTCCCGTGTCCCTCTTCACCTCGCCGCCCCTCCTCTCCCCTCTGGCAGCGGCTGCAGGCGGCGAATCTGGGCGACAGTGGGTTTGTGGTGGTGCGCAATGGGCGCATCATCTTCAAGTCGCCCCCGCAGCAGCACGACTTCAACTTCCCCTTCCAGCTCGGCAGTGATGGTGGCGACTCGCCCTCTGCTGCTGAGGTGAGTGGGCTGTGCTGTGGTGCAGAGTGGTGCAGACAAGGGTGGTGCAGATGGTTGCAGAGTGTTGAGCGGTGCAGATGGGTGCCACCTTGGGAGGTGCAGGTGGCTGGTGTGAAAGGTGGGTCAAGGGGCTATGTGCCACCACACAATATTGTCCTACGAGGGCCAACATGTTGCAACGACGCAGTGAGCTGATCCAGGAGCCAGCCTCTGCAATGCACTCTGCACTCTCGCATGCTTGCTTCCTTGGGTCCGGGAAGGTCGCTCGTCCACCCGGTGCTGCTGTTTGCCAGCCCAGCCGCTGTTATGTGCCAGACGTACTTCACCTCAATCTCTCTTCCACCACCCATCACCTCGTCCCGTGCACCCCCCCGCCCTCCCCCCCTTCTCTCACTCTCCCCCCTTTTCTCTCCCCTGCAGGTGTTTTCCCTGCCAGTGGCAGCGGGCGACGTGGTGGTGCTGGGCACAGACGGGCTCTTCGACAACGTCTTCGATTCAGAGCTCGCCTCCACCGTCATGCACTCGCTGCTGGCTGGGCGCGAGCCACAGCACACGGCGGAGCACATCGCCACGCTGGCGCGCACGCGTGCGCAGGACCGCATCCGCATCTCGCCCTTTGCGCGCGCGGCACAGGAGGCGGGGTACCGGTACTACGGGGGCAAGCTGGATGACATCACCGTGGTTGTGGCTTATGTGGCTGGACCGAAGTTTGGACCGGGGTGGTGGCGCAACTGCCGGTGATGGGGAGGTGTGGGGTAGGGAGATGAAGCGGCAAGAGGGATTGGGGCGTGAAAAGACAGATGCAGAGGCGGAGGCAGAAGGAGAAGCAATGGCAGATTTCAGATTCAGATCCAGGAGGGAGAGTGGCGCAGGCAGCAGTGTGTGCGGTGCACGGGGCAGAAGCAACACTGACAAGGCCGCTTGGCATGACCATCACAAGAAGCTTTTTTTTCCTTCCAATTTGCCGACATTACACAGAAGCTTTGGCCGCACCATGAGCAGAGCAGCTGTCCCCAGCTGCAAGGCTTCGCTCATTGCAAGCAGGGCGTTTAGCACATGTCACATGTCACCGCATGTCACCGCATGTCACCACATGTCACCACATGTCACCACGTGAACACCATCACGCCATAGGGGCACTAAGACCCACTTGAGGGGCACCAGTACCCTCCAGGCAGTCGTGTGTTACCACTCTCTCATGGCAGCACATCACATTTCGCGGTTTCCAGGTTTTGTGGCTGTGCAAGCTGGTTCTGGGTCTCTGTTCAGTTCTGTTCCACCCAGCAGCAGCAATGCTGACTGGATTAAGTTCTGCTGCCATCATTGGCAAGCGGAACCTGTGTTTTTGCCTAAATCGTGTGGTGGCAGGTTATTTTTTTGGCAGTACCTCTAGCGCACCCCTTGTATGCCTTCTGTTGTCTTCACTGTCAGAGGGTGTAGACTGGTATATGTACAACCACATTATGCTTCACTAGACAGTGTCAGTCAGGATTCATGAGGGTGCATAACCGGTGCCAATCCAACCTAGTTCATTGACTCGCAGATGAGTGACCAGGTGGGGAGAGCTAGAAGCCGTGGTAGAGCAGGTCGTAGCGGGGGATGCGGTCTCTGGGCAGTGGGCATGTGACTATGAGCTTGCCCCTCATCGCACCACTGTATATGGTCTGTGACCCAGGGGTGAGAGAGGGATGGATGGCGACAGAACGAGGGATGGGGAGAGAGGGAGGGATGGGGAGAGGGAGAGATGGGGAGTGGGGGAAAGATGGGGTGAGAGGGCGAGATGGGGAGACAGGGAGGGATGGGGAGAGAGGGCGGGATGGGGAGAGAGGGAGGGATGGGAAGAGAGGGAGGGACAGGGAAAGAGGGAAGGATGGGGAGAGAGGGAGAGTAGAAGGGGGAACAATTGAAGGTTTGGGGAGAGACGAGTGGATGGGAAGAAAGAACAAGAATCTGGTAGAGATGAAAAATTGGGGACATGGAAAAGAGTGGGTGTGCATGAGTGGGCAATGGATTATGGGAGTGCTGAAATACACAGCCCCAAATAGCCCCATCCCCGTTCCCTTCTGCCGCTCCTCCCCCACCACTTTGCCCTAACCCAACCGACCCCACGTAACCCCCTCACAACCACCCTCCCTTTTCCCCCTCCCCATTCTCAACCTCCCCCCTCCTCCACCACCTCTTCCCCCCTCTGCCGCACCTCGACGACGTCAATGTAGTCCTGCTTGCACGTGAACGGCCCCACCCACTTGCTGTGGTCGGGCGTGCTGCAGAGGGATGGGATGGGAGAGGGGTGGAGTGGTTGTTGGAAGGGTGACTCGGTGAGAGGCAGGCGGAGGCAGCAGCAGTGGCACATCCCGTTACAGCGGTGTGCCCAGGGCATGCGCGCCACACTCCCTCACATAGTCACCCATGGCCGCTGCTCTGATCCAGCCATCCCCGCACCCCCTGCTCACTCTAACCTCCCCTCCCCACTCGCCTCCCCCTCACCCAGCCCTTCCTCCCCCCCGCGCCCTGATCACCTAACGGCCATCTGGACACACCTGGGGTTGACCAACACGCACCCCCTCCTCGCGCCCACCCCACACACTGGCTCAAAACTCCCCTCCCCTCCCACCCTCTGGTCCACGCCCCACACACACCCCCCCCTTCATGCCCACTCACCCCCTTTGCCCCACCACCCCTGCCCGTCCCTTTCCCCCCCTCGTCCCCGTAAATTGCGAGAACTCCCCGCGCACCCGGAGTCCATCTTGACGTGCGGGGCGTTGAAGAAGCAGACGCACGCGGGCAGCACCTGCACCCCCCGTCCCACCCCTTCCTCACCCCCCCCTACTCTTTCCCCCACGCTACTCCTTCTCGCCCCCCTCACACCCTGCTTATATCCCCCGCGCTCACCCCGAGTCCATGTTGAGGTGCGGTGCACTTAAGAAGAACGCACACCCCCTGCCATACCCATCCCCGTCTCACCCCCGCCTTCTCTTCCCCCCTTGCGCACCCCGAGTCCATGTTGACATGCGAGGTGTTGAAGAAGAACACAAATCCCCCGCTCATCCCCTCTCTCACTCCTCCCGCATCCCCTCCCGCAACCCCCGCCCACCCCTTGCGCACCCGGAGTCTATCTGGATGTGCGAGGCGTTGAAGAAGAACACCCCCCCCCCCCCCCCCCCCCCCCCCCCCTCAACCACCGCGCACCCCTGGCCCACCCCTCCAGCACCCCCTCTTGCAGCCCATGCTCATTTCCCGCCCACCCCTCCAGCACCCCCTCTTGCAGCCCATGCTCATTTCCCGCCCACCCCTCCAGCACCCGGAGTCCATCTTGACGTGAGTGGCGTTGAAGAAGAACACGCACGCGGGCAGCACCCGCACGTCCAGGCACGCCACGTACGCCGCCACGCCCGCCGCCCGCACGTCCACCAGCGCCGCCCGCGCGAACCCGCTCACGTCCGTCGCCGCCCGCGCCAGCTGGCGAGCCGTTATTGGCGGCGGGAAACGCGGGCGTGGAGCAGAGGGAGGGGCGGGGGAGGGGCGGGGGAGGGAGAGATGGGGAGGGAGGGGAGGACGTGGAAGGAAGGATGGGGGAAGAAGGGGGGGCGTGAATGAGGTCAGGTGGCGACGCATCGCGTGGAGCCCTGCCATGCGACACTGTCGCACAGCATCGCCAGCATTCATGCTCTGTGAATCACTGACGGTGGTGCGAGCATCGGTACCATCAAAACCACCACCACGTCCCCCCCCCTGCTTGCACCTCAACGGAAGCCCGGCCCGACATCGTCCAATCGCGGCTCACCACGTCATCGAGCTGCATGCAGGTGGGGTCATCGGCGAGGCCGAAGCGCAGCACGAGCACGGCGTCGACGGTGTTCCACAGGAACGCGTCGACCTGCTCCTTGCGCGTCAGCACCGGCAGCTCGCCCGCCATGCCGTTCGCGAAAGCGGGGTTACGAAAGGGCGACTGTCGTCACGACTTTGCCTGAAGCGTTCGCCATGTTCACGACGCGAAAGGCGGCCTCTCGGCCCTGACGAAAGCCATGCAGCTTCCGCCGCCGGCGAGGTGGTAGCTTGCGCGTATTGAGTACGTCGCACGAACCTTTGAGTAGTGGAGAGAGAGACTAAGAGGCGGAAGGGAGAGGGGAAGGTGAGAGCGTGAAAAGGGAGGGGTTGTGAGAGGAACGCGATGCGAGAGCCGAGAAGTGTGGAACGAGCATTGCTGGCGTGGGTGGGTGGGACCGACGATGAGATGACATTCAAGGGGAGGGACGGCATTACTGTTCGCGTTAGTGTAACTTCGTTAAGTGTCGTGACAAAGAGCAGTGGTAAGTTAGCTAGGGAGTTTAGATATTTTAAAACCTGGGTGTTACCGACTCGTGGGAGTGACGCCAAGTTTTTTGGCTTCGTGCTTTTGAACTTCCCGCCAAATTATCCCCTCGATCACCAATCACGCACGACTCGACGAAAACCAACCCGTATGGGGCAATCCCACCATCCACACACACCCCAAGGTCCATCGATCCTGTCCCTTCCGTGCGCGAATCACACAAGCATCAAGCAACCTTGTTTCTTGTTCTGCGTGAAAAACCAGAAACAAGGCGTCCGCTGTCAACCAACTTGCACAGGACATCACACCTCTTCACACCACAGCCCACTTAGCAGCGCAACGACGTTCCTCATTCGGCGTTCGCCAGCAGCGGCAGCGTTCAGCGCCAACCGATCTCCTCTCCTCACGCAATGCCGCCAGCAATGCCGGCGGCAGCACCGCCGCCAGCCGTGCTTTTGCGGTCGTGCGGCACGGACGGCGTGTGCATGCAGTGCAACAAGCTGCCGCCCGACGACCGCGTGCTCGTGTGCGACGCGTGCCGCGGCGAGTGGCACATGCCGTGCCTCGTGCCGCCCCTCACCGCCGCACCCGCCGGTACGTGGCACTGCCCCGACTGCCACGAGGTCGAGGCAGAGATGAACCGCGCGCCCAGCGCCGACGGCGGCCGAGACGGCCGTGCCGCGTCTGATGCGGCGGCCGGCGGGGCCGAAGCGCTGAGAGAGGTGGATGCCGCGGCGGCAACTGCGGGAGGCGGCGGCGAGGGCGAACTGCGCGCGAGAATCCGTGCGATCGAGAGCGACGCGTCGCTGAGTGACGCGGAGAAGGCGAGGCAGCGGCAGGCGCTCGTGAGCCGCCAGGCGACGACGACCGCGAGCGAGAGCGGCGGCGGGACGCGCGCGGACGGGGCGGGTGCGACGGCGCGGGGCGCAAACGCGGCAGAGGCGGCGGAGGCAGCGGCGGCGTGTTTCAGCGAGGCGATGAAGTGCCCCATCTGCCACGACCTCGTCGACCGCCCCGTCACCGTGCGATTCTCTATCTTCCCCCCGCTGTCACCGTGCGATCTTCTTCCTTGCCCTCCAGTGCTTCCATGCGCTCTTCACCCGCTTTCCCCCACGTTCCTTTCTTCACCGCCTAACTCTCTCCCCATGCCTCCTAACTCCTCCTCCCCCCATCCCTCCCCTCCCTATTCCCGCCAGACCCCCTGCGGGCACAACTTCTGCCTCGTGTGTTTCCGCAAGTGGCTGGCGCAGGGCAAGCGCAGCTGCGCCAAGTGCCGCCGCGCGGTGCCGCCCGACATGATGAAGCAGCCGCGCATCAACCCCGTCATCGTCGCCGCCATCCGCCACGCCAAGGCCGCCGCCGCCCGCGCGGCCGCCGGCGGGCTGTCCACGTCAGCAACACTGGCCAAGCCGTACGAGCCAATCTGCAACGAGAAGCGGCCCGACCAGGCGTTCACCACGGATCGCGCCGTGCGCAAGGGGCTCTCTAACGCGGCCTCGGGCCGGATATTCGTGACTATAGCGGGGGACTTTTTTGGACCAATCACGGCGGAGTACGATCCGGAGAGGGGGACGGGCGTGGAGGTGGGCGAGACGTGGGCGAGTCGGCTGGAGTGTCGGCAGTGGGGCGCGCACCTGCCGCACGTGGCGGGCATTGCGGGGCAGTCCCACCACGGCGCGCAGTCGGTGGCGCTGTCAGGGGGTTACGAGGACGACGAGGACAATGGCGAGTGGTTCCTCTACACCGGCAGGTGCGCGTGGGTAGAAGGGATGAGAGGACTGGGAGGGGCGAGGAGGGAGGCAGTGTGGGGGCAGAGGTGAGCTGCGCAGGACAAAGCAGAGCAGGCATGCGGGATTGCTGTGCGCTGCTTGCAGCAACAGCACTGCGACCGGTCCTGTGTGCATCCTCGTATCTCCCCTTCTGTGAGATGCTTCCCCCGTCGCTCTTTTCTCCATTTCCTCGCTCCCCACCCGTTCCCTGCTCCTTCCCCCCCTTTCGTCCCTCCTGCTCCCCTCCTCCTCCCCGCCCCTCACCACCCGTGTCCCTCCCCCATGTCGATCCCCTTCCTGCCCACCTCCCCACCCACACGGCGAATAACAGCGGGGGTCGGGATCTGAGTGGCAACAAGCGCACGAACAAGGTGCATGCGTTCGACCAGCGCTTTGAGAAGAGCAACGAGGCGCTCAGGCTCAGCTGCCTCAAGGGCTACCCCGTGCGCGTCGTCAGGTGTGGCTCTGCTCCTTTGCCACATCACACTGTGCGTGCATCATCGGTGTGTGTGTATGCACGTGCGTGTATGTGTTTGTATGTCCATGCGTGCGTGCGTGCGTGTGTGTGGGCGCACGCGTGTGCGCGTGTGTGCATGCATGCATGTGTGCGTGTTACCTTGTTGTCAGCCGCTGCATTTCCATCCGGTCTCCTCCTGCGCAAGCACATTCCTCTGTGATTGTCGTCTCATCCACTCCTACACGCACACCTCTCCACGACCACATCCCATAATGTCCTGTCCCATCCCGTCACATCCCATGTGCACACATGCCTGCGTCCACGGGGCAGGTCGGAGAAGGAGAAGCGGTCCAGCTATGCGCCACAGGCGGGTGTGCGGTACGACGGCGTCTACCGCATCGAGCGTTGCTGGCGCAAGAAGAGTGGCGTGGTGAGGAAGAGGGGGTTAGGGGGGTTATGTCATGAGTTGGAGGGGAGGGAGGTTATGATTGTGAGGGGCGAGAAGTTATCTTGGTGGGTGGACGTGGCGAGTGGTAGAGAAGAGGCTTGGACTTTTGGTGTTGCTGCTGACGCAAAAACGCAATCTACATGTCCGTCTCCCCCCCCAGGGCTTCCTCGTGTGTCGCTACCTCTTCGTGCGCTGTGACAACTCGCCCGCCCCCTGGACCAGGTAGCTACCACTCTACCGCCCATACCACGTACCACTCCCGCCATCCATTCTCTCGCGCTTGGCCCGCCCTGGGTTTGCACAACACTCTCGTGTACAACACCGCTTCACCTCCGTATCCCCTCCTTGCCTCCACTTGCTTCATCCTGTGCTCTCCCCCTTCTTCCTCCTTCCCCCTCTTCTTCCCCCTCTCCCCCTTCCCCCCCTCTTCCTCCTCTACCTCCCCCGCTCACCCCTCTCCCCCCTGCCCCTGTCCCCTGCCCCCCTTGTTTGCGACGCAGTGACGACGTGGGCGACAGCCCGGGGCGGAAGCTGCCGCAGGTGGCGGAGTTGAAGCAGGCGGTGGACGTCACCGAGCGCACGGGGCCGCCCTCATGGGACTGGATTGTGAGTGCGTGGGGGTGCATGCGGGTGCGCGGGTATGCGTGGGTGTGCACGTGGTGTGTGCACGTGGTGTGTGCATACTTGTGGGACGAGTGGCACATGCGGGAGTGAAGTGTGAGTGGTGCGTGAGGGGCTGGCTTGTGAGTGGCACAGGGTGACAGCTGGTGCTATGTCTCTGTTGGGGTGGGCATCAGTGCTTGCTTTCACAGCACATGCATGCTTGATGAGTGCCAGCGCACTCAACTCAAGCACGAGCCGAAGCGATTTCACCTCGCATCACTCACACCAGGCACGTCTGCCCTGACAAGCCGAGTCAACCAGTCTCGAGCTGCTTCAGCGTGAAGCAGTGCACACTCAAGGCTGCACCTCCCATGCTCTCACGGCCCGCCCACAGGAGGAGAGGCGGCAGTGGGGGTGGGTGCGCGCACCCCCTGTGTGCAGCAAAGCACGCCCTATCGGCGGCAATTGTTAGTCGACTCAAAACCGACACGCCACACAGCTAAGGCTGTACCCCCCGTGCTCTCTCTTCCCGTCCACAGGAGGAGAAGCAGCAGTGGGGGTGGGTGCGGCCGCCCCCAGCATGCACCAAGCCCATCGGCGGCACCAGCACGGCATGGCGCTCTGCCAAGAGGCTGGCGGTGGGCAGCACGGGCGAGGCGGTGAAGAAGCGGAGGGCTGTGGCGCAGAAGAGACTCGCTAAAGGTGAGCGGGCCCGGAGATGAGATTGGTCGCCCTTTGGTCGTCACTGTGGGCCGTGGCTAGTATTAGTTGTGGTGAGAGCATCACAAGGAGTGAGAGTGTATGCAGTTGAGGGCAGGTGGATGCTAAGGGCTTGGTCAGGTCCTACATTTACAGTTCATGCTTCGAGGCTCAGGACGGTCCCACAAGGTGGAAAGCGGTTTTCGAGGTTTACCGTTTTGCACCGTGTCCCAACGAAGTAGACCGCAGAGAAGGCACAGGAGACGTACGACCTGACCCCGCCGTACAGGAACTCGACTGCCACGCCTCTCCGTCACATGCCTCCACTGCCCAGCTACACTCGAGCCCCCCCCTCCATCTCCCCCATCAACTACCCATCCCCACCACACCACCCCCCCCCTCTCCTCCCCTCAGACTTCGCATGTCTGCTGTGTGGCGGCGTTCTCAGTGACCCAGTCTCCACGCCCTGCCAGCACAGCTTCTGCCTCGCGTGCCTGCAGCAGCGCTTCCACGGCCAGGCCGACACGCGCGACCGCTCCAAGACAGCGGGGCGGTCGCTGCGAGCGCAGAAGATCGTCAAGCAGTGCCCCGCCGCGCGCTGCACCGCTGACATTGCCGACGTGCTGTCCCGACTGCAGGTGAGGGAATGATGGGTTCAGGTGAGGTTGTGAGGCTTTGCGAGACAAGCAGGCACGGGGAACGGTGTTTTAGCAATTCCCATTCTCCCTCATGTCCCACCGCTTTTGCAGCATGGCTCCTCCGCTCAAAGAACCCAGCACTGTTCTCTGCGTGAATTCTCTCTCTGCTGCGCTGCCGCATTCTCATGCCCTCTCCCACACGCTCTCTCCTCTTGCAATCGCCGCATTCTTCTCACATTCCCCTTGGGCCCCTCCCGCGCGGCAGGTGCATTAAGACATGGCAGACCTGATTGCCATGCTGCTCGCAGAGACACACGCTCCCACACTCTCCCACACGCTCTCTCTTGCCCCTTGCCCCTTGCACCCCCACCTCACCCCCTCCTTCCACGGTGGCAGGTGAATCACGACATGGCAGACCTGATTGCCATGCTGCTGGCAGAGACGAATGCACCAGATGCAGACGAGGGGGATGCGGGGGAGGGTGGGGATGGGGGGGATGCAGGAAAGGGCGGTGAGGAGGATGGGGAGGAGGGCGCAGAGGGGGAGGAGGATGAAGCGGATGAGGAAAAAGAGGAGAAGGACAGCAAAGGGCAGGACGAAGGGAAGGAGTGTGAAGGAAGCATCGAAGGTGTAGGAGAGGAGGGGCGGAAGGAGGAGGGGCGGAGCAAGGGGGTGCAAGCGTTAAATGCGATTGGTGCTGCGGGGAGCAGAGGAGGAGCGGGTGAGGGGGAGGGCAAGGGCGCGCAGGCAGAGGTGGATGGGGGAAGGGAAGGCGGAGTGGATGGCGGGAAGAGTGGGGGAGTAGTAGGTGCGCTGAGTACCCCTTCAGGTGGCGTTGCTGGTGTGACGACAGCATCGGCACCGGCGGGTGCAGCAGCAGAGGGGGCAGCAGCAAAGGGGACGGCAGCAGTGGGCAAGGCAGTGGAAAGGGCAGAAACAGAGGGGGTGGCAGCAGGAAAGGCGACAGCAGCAGCGGCACTGGTGGGGTGCAGCTCGGTGGCAGGCGTCCCAGAGGACTTGCGGGAAGTGATGAGGGACTACCCCGAATTCGACCAGGCAACGCTGCGAGACATGCTGGTGCGAAGGGGCGGGGAGGGGAGGGGTGGGTGGAAGGAGGGCGCAGAATGGCGGGAGGACATGTGGTTTTGTGCTGTGGTGGATGGGGTTGCTGGTGGATGGGGTTGCTGGTGGATGGGGATGGGGTTGCTGGTGGATGGGGATGGGGTTGCTGGTGGATGGGGTTGCTGCTGTAAACCTTACAGAGGGTAGTGGTCTTAGATAAATGCAGGTATCTCTGTGCTCCTGATCCCCCCGTCTGCTGTGATCCCGTCCCGTCATCCCATCTTCCCCACGCTTGTCTTGCCGCTGTCTGTCTCGCTGTGTTCCCTGCGCTACACACACGCTCCCCACATCGCCCTCACCCTTTCTTGATCCTCACCCCTCTCTTGGCCCTCCCCCTCCCGGCCCTCACCCCCATCCCCCTCCCCCATTCCCGCCCCGGCCATCCCCGTCCCCCACCCCACCCACACCCCTCCCGCCCCCGACCCCCCTGCGCACCACTGACAGGCGGGAGAGGCGGGCGGCGACGTGGAGGAGCTGCGCGGCATGCTGAAGCGCATGCGCTGCCACCAGCAGCAGGGGGACGGTGCCGGTGCAGGGAGGGGAGCAGGTGGAAGGGGGCGCGGGAGGGGGCGGGGGAGAGGGAGAGGAACGGCGAGGGGGAGAGGGAGAGGGAGAGGGAGAGGGAGGAGAGGAGTGGAGGAGGAGAGCGCAGGGGAAGATGGGGAGGCAGGGGCAAGGAAGCGGCAGAGGGAGGATGTGGTGGAGGTGGATGGGGGCAGCTCTGATGATGATGTCGAGGAGTGTTAGGAGCATCAGTAGGCTGCCCTCATACACTCATCATAACGCTACACGTGTCTGATCTGATATTTTTCACCCCAATCTTTTGCACATGCCCAACACTGCGAAAGTCCTGTTCATTAATCGCATTCCTGTTCCTAGTATTACCGTACCATGATGGGCACATTTTTCTCAGTGGCGAAGCAAGTCAGCTCTAGAGACTAGAATAGTCTGCGCTCTCATCTCACGTTCACTACACCCTCACCTAGGGTCTGAGCACGTGGCCGGGTCTGAGCACGTGGCCGGGTCTGAGCACGTGGCCGGGTCTGAGCACGTGGCCGGGTCTGAGCACGTGGCCGGGTCTGAGCACGTGGCCGGGTCTGAGCACGTGGCCGGGTCTGAGCACGTGGCCGGGTCTGAGCACGTGGCCGGGTCTGAGCACGTGGCCGGGTCTGAGCACGTGCAGGGTCTGAGTCCGAGTCATTGTACCAGGCTTTGATTGCCATTTTACCAGACTCTTCACCATCACCCTTGGTGACAATGGCAAAAGCACCTTCTGCTACACCGGCCTTGAACGTCGCTTGGCCTTACGCTTTGCCCTTACCCTTTGGCCTTTGGCTGTGCCCTTGGGCTGTGCCCTTGGGCTTTGCCCTTGGTCTTTGACCTTGGGCTGTGCCCTTGGGCTTTGGCCTTGGGATTTGACCTTGGGCTTTGACCTTGGGCTTTGGCCTGGGGCTTTGGCCTTGGGCTTTGGTCATAAACTCTAGCCTGGCTTCACCTTGTGCTTGGCCTTGGATTCTCAATTGCCAAAATATATACACTAGATGTTTATGAGCAACACAATAACACCATGCCACTTATTTCCTACTACATATGTTTCACAAATCTACCCCTGGGAAACCCTTGTCACCTAGTATGGCATCACATTTGTCTTGGACTGGACCCTTTTCATCCTGCCATGTGGTTCACCCCTCTAGACCAAGGCGCCCTCTAAGTTTGATGCTCAGTCTAATATCTTTGTGGTCTTCCATTACTTCACCTGCTTCCAGATTAGTCCTCAAGAAAACACCGTTCGCGGCAACAGCTTCAATCGTCTTGGTGTAGACAAGAGCAGAGTAAGCGTCAGGAGCAGCCAGCATGGCATCCACCAGCCCCTTGTACGTCTGCCCGTTATCCGCCTTCAAAGTACCGGGGCTTAGCCAAGTGCCGGTGGTCTTGTAGCTGTAGCGGAAGGGGGGCGGATCTTTCCTCAAGAACGCCACCTTCTCTTCTGCCAGCTTGGCAAGCTCAGCGTCTGATAGCGTTTCATTGGCCCACTTGGCGCTGCTGGTGGTCACAATGAGTGCCACGTCAGCACCTTTGGTGACGACTACGCGGGTGGGCTCGCCAGGTTTGTTAAGACTCATGATGACGCGGTAACGAATGCTGTAGTTGTTAGTGGTGGTGTTGCTGAGGGGGTGGGTGGCAAGGAGGGGCAAGGAAGGGCAAGGAGGGGCAAGAAGGGGCGAAGAAGGGCAAGGAAGGGCAAGGAGGAGCGCGTCTTAGGCCACGAGGCAGGCGGGTAAGGAGGGGCGAAGGATAACAAGAGGCATTTGGATGGAAAAGTATAACAGGACGTGGGGAGAAGTGTGGGAAGTTGAGAGAGTGAGGGGTGAAATGAGGGGAGAAGTGAGGGGGTTGAAGGTATATGGGGAAGGGGGAGGGAAGGGATTGAAGGAGAGGCTTACAGGAGCAAGGCAAGGGAAATGCAGCCTTTGGCCTTGACGACACCAGTGAGGCCAGCATTGGAGCCAGAAGGGTATGCTCCCACCACCCCTGAACGAACGAGGGAGAGAAGCCCAAGTGGAAGGCGAGGGCGGGGGAGAGATGGTAGTGAGAGTGGAAGGTGGGGGGTCGAGGGTGGGTGAGGACTTTTCAGGCGCCTTAAAAATCAGCATTGGAGGCAGAAAGATGTGGCCCCACCAACCCTGAACGAATGTGGGAGAGCAGCCCACGTGGAAGGCGAGGGCGGATGGTGAGGGTGGGGGGGGGATAGTGAGAGCATGAAAGGAGGCAGGAGAGGGACTCCTCGATATAATAGGCATGGGGGTGAAGGTGAGACGAAGGTGGGGAAGAGATGGTGAGGGTGGGGGGGGGATGGTGAGAGGATGAAAAGAGGCGGGGGAGGGGACTCCTTGGTAGAACAGGCATGGGGGTGAAGGTGAGACGAAGGTGGGGAAGAGTCGGCGAGGGTGGGGGGGGCGAGGGTGGGGGGGGATGGTGAGTGAATGCAAGGAGGCGGGAGAGAGGATTCCTTGGTAGAACACGCATAGGGGTGAAGGTGAGGAATGGTGAGGGAGAGATGGTGAGAGAGTGGACGGCCCGTCAAGAGCAGGCGAGAGGAGGAGAGCAGGCGAGAGGTGGAGAGCAGGCGAGAGGAGGAGAGCAGGCGAGAGGAGGAGAGCAGGCGAGAGGAGGAGAGCAGGCGAGAGGAGGAGAGCAGGCGAGAGGAGGAGAGCAGGCGAGAGGTGGAGAGCAGGCGAGAGGAGGAGAGCAGGCGTGGGAGCGAAGGTGAAGAAGGTCAAGAGATGATGAAATTGGGGCGGGGGCGAGTTGGGAGTGCATAGGGAGGGGGAAATGCAGAAGAGCCAGGGCTTCTTACCAACTTTAACGACCTCCCCCTTCTTATTGTCTTCCTTCTTTGTGCCTGCTGGGAGCGGATCGTTCATAAACATCCCACTCGCTGCCCCCGCCGTAAAAGACACCGTCGTGAACCCCCCATAAAACTCTCTTGCCGACATCATCATCGCATCCACCAGCTCCATAACAGTCGTGCCATCCGACGCGATTGATAGTGCACTCGCTGTAAGCCACGTCCCCTTCAAAGCATAGGTGTATGTGGGTGTGATCGTTTTGTTCTTAAACAGAGTTGGAGGCGGCGGAGGTGTTTTATCCTTCCACGTGGCTTTGGCCCCGGCAATCTCGAAGACGGTGGTTCCCGCATTCCCCGCCTTGCCTAGCGCGATGAAGGCGGAGGTCGGAGCGCCCAGTATGGAGGTGGAGACGAGCGCATGGTAGAAGACGTTGTAGTCTCCGTCCAACCTGACGGATTCAGTCAGGGTTTGCAAAGCGAGCGAAAGAACGGAGTAATGATTGGTCGCATTGCAAGACGCTTTCTCAGAGAGATGAAAGCAACGTTCGGTGAGATAACAGATGAGCTGGGAGTAACAGGGGGCGGGTTTCGTTAGTTGAGATACGGGAAACGAAAAGCGCCGACAGATGAGGCATCACACTGTGCCACGCAACCGCCGGAATATCGAAAAGTAGCAGTTGGCTTACTCGAAGACGGCGAGGCAGATTCGACCGCTAGCGTTTTTGTCGCCCCCCGTCCCCATAGCGGAACCTTTCAGCCGCGCGGCGAGAATGGCTGCGCAAGGGAGAGGAGCGGCGGAACGACGTGAAAGAGAGAGAGGGAATAGCGGAGAGGATTCGGAATGAGATTCTAGAAAATGGTCGCTTGGAACGTATTCGCTCCTAAAGGTTTGCGAAAGTCTTCTCACCAGTCAAATGTCCGAGAGCCGCAGCCTTCTCGGGATTGGGCAACGGGCACGGACCCGCGCCAGTGGGACCCGCGTTTGTCGCTGCCCACATGGAAGAAAGTCACGTTTGGAATTAAACATGTGAAATGAATGAGAAATAAAATTTAAGGGTTACAATACGAAGCGTTTCGCTGTAATGCTTCGTGAAAGTTTACTGCTTTGAATCTGACAGCAAGAAACGGCGAATCTGACAGATGCGGGCAGGCACAAATCCGCGTCACTCACTACTAACACATGCGGTGAAGACTAGTAAGAGAAGAATCGAAACGTCATGGTAACGTTGGAGCCCCATCGCAAACTGAAGCGCCTAGCGGATGAATCGATCCTAGAATGTATTACGGTGGTTGGCTCGTTGACGAGGTAAGAAAGAGAGTCTGAAAGCTTGAATGCAGAAATGAGCAGCCTTGTGGCATTTATGCTTGGCAAGAACAGGAGGGGAATGTTCAAGGACGTGAGGGCGTTATAAAGCCGTTCCGTAGGGTGCCCTTTTGTTATAGAGTGGTGTAAAACCGATATGCCTCGGTTCCATGACCAGGGAGTAAAATGCCTTGCTTGTCGCGCTGTGGGAAACATAGAGAATGCGCTGTCGTGTGGACAGCACATTCAAGCGAACGCACCTGGCGGGGTACCTGGCGGGAATGCCGTGGTTGAGGAGGGTACACCCTGTTTCGCGCCACACTGACATTCGCTGTATTGACATGCCGTTTATTCTGACATCAACGCGTCCAAAACGGTCCCAGAACATAGCATATAAGCACAATTCGCCGCAATCAACCGTACGCGATAGCATTGTTTCTTTCACAAACCGTTGTGTATCGTTCTCCTGGACTGCATTTGCCCGCCACCTACCTG